GTACTTTGGCTTTCGTGGACTTGTTCTAATTTTCTTCAGTTTCAACTTGAATTTGCATATGAGCAATTGATGATCTGTTCCACAGTCGGCCCCTGGCCTTGTTCTGACTAATGATATTGAGCTTTTCTATCATCTGCTTCCACAGACGTAGTTGATTTGATTCCTGCATATTCCATCTGGTGAGGTCCACTTGCACAGTGGAAGAAGGATTGGTAGTTGGAAAATATGGCGTTGCAATAGAAACAACGCCGGTGATCGTATGATAGAATTTTGCAAGACCAACGACTTCTTCATTGCAAATACCTTTTTTCAACAACATACACATGGATGTCACCAGATGGAATACACAGGAATCAAATTGACTACATCTGTGGAAAGAGACAATGGAAAAGCTTAATATCATCAGTTAGAACAAGGCCAGGGGCTGACTGCTGAATAGACCATCAATTGCTCATATGCAAGTTCAAGTTGATTGATGTGGGAATAGGAAAAACCTGGAAAAGAATAAGTCAACCCCCCGCTCCACCGTAGGCATCCGTATAAACCCTGTTCTCACTACTATGACAAGTGACAAGCTGGTGAAAAGGTTGACTTCCCAAAGTGGTAAGGACTGGTTATTGATCTAGGATCAATGAGTGGATAGCAATGCGTTTGACTATATAGGGAATGAAGAAGAGGAGAAAGTTGCTAACGACAGAGAGAAGTTAGGAGTCAGTCTAGGAAAGAATAAACTTTCAGAACCTATGGAACATTCACATAGAAATGTTCAGTGCACAGTCATAAAAACACCTGTTCACAGACACTTTGCGTGTATAATTATCCAGGTGCTAAAGACACAAAGAAGAATAATACAGTCTCTGATCTAAAACTCTGTCCTGAAGAGTCTTTATGCTTCATGTAATTCTTTGTGTCCTGTGTTAAGAGTATTACTAAAATATTTCCATATACTAATAAATTAAAGCAACCCATTATATAGGTGTAGACACTGACAATGTTGATAAATGAGAGTTGACACAGAAAGATAAGATAAATACCTATAAATGATT